AAACTTCACTATCATCTTCTCTGTCATCTCTGAAACTGCTTTTATAACTGGTCAGTCAGTAGCATAATCTATAGCAGTGATTATTCATCAATTTCTATTTGATATTTACAATAATATGTCTATGAGATTCATCTCTCATTATTTGAACAGTTATATTATACACTTCATCTGATGTTGCACTTTCTTGTATTCTAATCCTTTCTTAGATTCTTTCATGACCTGATAATTCAGGCACTTGTGAGTGTATATCTGAATGTCCTCAGCCATGCTTGACCAGTATGCTCTTGATTTGAGTATACTCATGAGTTCAGGGCTTTCTAAGTGACTGAATTCCTTATGCATGTGAGTCATCAAGTCATGTCTAAATAAAGATTGTAGATAGAGAGCTTTCACATATTCTAGATCACAGTAAAGCATAATGTCATTTTTCAATTTCCTCAGCTTGAAGTTTGAAAGCATCTCTTCTATTACTCTCACAAGACACTTGTCATCTGACATCTTGTCATTCTTCAAGTAAGAGATTATAATGTTCACTTATTCTAATTTCTTACATCTTCTCAGTGCATTTAATATGAACTTCTCTTATGCCTGATTCACAGAACCCTCACTTATAAAATCAGGTCTGTGACTGATTACATCAGACATCACAGTATTCAATCTCTTTCAGTATTTGATATGAAGATTATATGCTTGAAACTCTGAGATTCAATATGCTAAGTGTTTGAAAGATTTTATCATCAATTATAGATAGATAAGACTTTCATAATTCATGATCATCATTGTTATATACTTATTGTTAATATATCTATCTCACAATGTCAGCACATACTTAATCACTAGCAATTCCTTTTCATACACTGAGTAATTGAGCTCAGTGTCTGATAGTTTTCTATCATTATACACTATCAGATGCAGCTTGCTGTTCTTGCTCATCTGTAGAAGAGCACCTTCAATAGCTCATTCAAATGCATTTATCTCAATGTAGAAAGGTTTATCATGATCTGATTGAATAAGCATTGAGAATATTATTACACATTCTCTCAGTGTGAGAAAAGCCTCTTCATACACAGTATTTCAGATAATTGAATAAAACTTCTTCTTTCACAGATTTGTATTCATTTCTCTTAAGAGATCTGAGAGTGATACTAATATTCATGTGAAATCCTTGATAAATCTGCAGTAATATAAGACTAACTCAAGAAACTGTTGTACATGATGTATATTTCTCAGCTACAGTTAATTTACTATAATATTCAATTTCTTCAGAATGAGATATATACAGTCATCACTCACTACATGTTCTACAAACTTCAACTCTTTCATTTCAAACACACACTTGATTGATTTAACATAGAGCTTATACTCTGTCAGAGTTATAAGCACTTCATTGAGATGCTTCAGATATTCATTGTATGAGTTTAAAAAGACTAGAATGTTATTGAGATATACAAGATATGAGATTTCATTCTGTTTATAAAGAATTGTATTCATCATTATTTAGAAGATGATAGATATATTTGTCAGACTGAATGATATTATCAGAAATTTGAACTTCTCTCATTGTGTATTAAACACAGTTTGTGAGACTGATAGTTCATCTACACAGATCTGTTAGTATTCTGAGAGAAGATCAATCTTCAATAGATATCAGGTATTTTCAACTGTATGCAACTGTTATTGAATTTGTAGCAGTGAATATTCATTCTTGATCATAAGCTTGTTAAGTGCTTGATAATTGATATATATTCATTACTTCTTATCTGTCTTTTTCATGAATAGAACTGAAAAGTCTCACACACTTAATAAGAGTTATATAAGACTATGTTCTAGAAGATCTGTGATCTGACACTTCTGTTCTTCAAGATGCATTTGTGACAGAGAGTATGCATTCTGATTGACTGGTTTTGCATCTCTCATGTCAATCTCATATACAAATCCTCATTTTGACAGCAATTTCAGTGAAAGATCTGTTCAGAAGACCTTCTCATATTTCTTCAGAAGCTTCTTTATACACTTATTCTCTTATATATTCTTTATCTTGATTTTCTCTGCTTTCAGATTCTGTATGATATACAGAATGCTTTCAGATGAGATCTTGTGAATTGTTCTCTTTACTTATTAATACATAAGCAGATTTAACTCTTCTATATCAGAGACATGAAATGTCCTTCTTATATCAGTTGATAGAATTGTATGAATCATTTTCTTCCTATCAGTTAACTGTATATAACATGTACATTATTGAATCTGCAGATTGAATCTTTGAAATCAATCAAGTATGAGAATAAGATCATATTTCATATTCTGCAGCTCTCACACTCAAATATAGCAAGATCATTCTTCAAAGTGCAAGAGAACTCTTACTCTTACAGATAATATCAAATATCAGTTATCAGATAATCTTATACATCAGAAATTTTTCACTCAGCAGACCTCTTTCAGTCTTCAGATCATATAATCATTAATATATTATATAGAAGCTTCTGTGTTCACTAACACTTTTACAGTCATCTCTCTGTTCTTACTCAAGTGTCTCTTATACATTAATGTTTCAGGCCTCAAGGCATTGAGATGAGCATTCACTTCATTCTCACTCACACCTCAGTCAGAAGCCTGCTTTCTCTTGATATTTGCAGAATTCAGAGAGTCATCTAACACAGACATCTCTTTCACTTTTAAGACTTTTCATAGAATATCAGTGAGTGCCTCTGAGCTCACTGATTCTGCTAGTTTTTTGACTCTCTTGCTTTTCTTAACTGTGCATGCTGTGTGTAATCTTTTATATTATGATTTTAACATTCACAGTTGAAGCAAGCTTAATATTCATAATATCAAGATTTTCACTCAGAGAATCCCTTTTTCAGAGAATTCAGTACTTTAGCAATGACATTCAGATCTAGATTCATTGCATCTGAGTGTGTGACTTGTGTCATAGAAGTCTGATTACTCATTCTCTACTGAGACATACTCAATTGCAGTATTTTCTGTCACAATTGACTCACTTATTTCTGTATAATAAGAATGTTGTATACTTCTTTCACTGTGTCTGATTACAAGGTTAAGCATTTTCATTTCACTCTCAACTCAGGTGTAAGATCATGAATGAAGATCTGTAAATAGAAAGATGTTAAAAGCTCTTTATTCAATATAAGATAGTGTAAGCTGAAGTGTATAAAGTATGATATAAGATCACTTACTTGTCTACACTCAGTGAAATGTTTGTAACACTTATCTTATATATTCACTTTCTCAAAGTTGTACAAGATTCATTTGAAAAACTCATTCTATATTTGTAAGAATGAATATTGCTTCAGGTCTGTGAAATTCATCTTTTTATCAGTTATTTATAATAACTTCACTTTTCTGTATAGAAACACAGCAGATCTTAAGACTTGTTAAAATTCTGTTAACTGTCTGTCTGTGAGTTCATATTCAATTCAATAATATAATTGCATCTGACTTAGCCAGCTGATTACAGCATCATTTTTTCAGTTGTCATTGAAGCTTGATAACTCTGACAGATCTCTTAGCTTGATATATTTCATACTTGAATTCTCATTCCGCACAGCAGTCTCTGATGATATGTACACTTCTGAAGAGATTATAAACAATTATAATGAGATTCTCAGGTTTAATATAGTTATCTATCTGTGTAAACATTCAATCTCTCACTGCAGGCCTAAGATCTGATTTTCTCTATTCTTATTGATAGTGATGATTGCATCAGTGAAGCTCTTCATAGTGAATACTTGATTCACAGTGAATACTAATTGTTGTTTAACTTCTGTCTCAGTCTGTCACTGTATACACAAGGCCTTGATCTCATTTAGAATCCTTGTATGCATACAGAGCTTCAATTTCAGTTCAGTGATTTCAGTTACTTTTCTTACTGCTTTAAGTAAATTCTCTGAGAGGTTCTGTTGTAATGTGGCGGAACCGAAGCGGTGGCTAGTCAGCAGCATCATGTAGAGGTAGTTGTTTAAGAAGCTGTATAAGTGAGCTTGACTATCTTGCTTGAATAGTGAGCTTGTAGGCTACAGAGTTATTGCAAGAATATCACAGATGTGATACTTAGTATACTAAGAAGATTGTATGAGATATGCAGTAACTCTTGTATATATTTCAGTAGAAGAAAAATGAATCACTGACTTCTTTTATAAGAAGTCAGCATCTAGCTATTCTATATAGATAATGAGTGAATACCTTCTTTCATTTTATAAGTGAGAATAGCTGAAGTGATACCTCAGCAGTATCTCACTGTCAAGGAAAAGTAATCTGCTGATCTTATATAGAAGTGAGGTTCTTATATTTATCAATCAGATCTTTCTATGATATATCTGAATGATATCATAGAGCAGTTGAAAATCAGTTCAGACAGAATGAAATCATCTGTATGAAAGTGATAAGCTATGTGAAACTGTAACAGAGTCTTGACACAGCTGAGAGTATGACAATGTTCTTCTCTTTAAGAGTATAGTCTCTATGTTCTTAAGATTACTGAATTAGGAATTATCTTTATTATATAGTAACAGTTATCAATCAATTGACAGTGTATATACTGTATATAATATAAAGAAATAGATGAGTTTTTCTGCTGACTATGTAGATCTTTCTTTACTTATCTTTGTTCAAATCAAACATGTGATAAGTGAGTTTCTTATATATCAATTTGAAATGAGAAAAATATAGTTAATAAGTGACTTATAGATCTCTCATCATATTCTGTTCTATATATGAAATTCTCTGTAAAAGTGATATATTTTAGAGACAAAGCTAACAGTAGTGATAGGATTTTTTTGAAAAGATTTCTATCTCTGTGAAACATTTTTCTTCTTTCTCTTCTCAATTACAACAGTGAGTGTATGAGAGTATTATTCTTGAAGAATAATAAAGAACTTATTCTGATATTCTCTAGTGAGTAAATATCTTTGTGATGTGACTGTGGTCTTCATGACTGTCAAGAAAGCCTGGTTGAAGATGAAGATGACAGTATTGATGAATCATGAAAGCACTGCTCTTATTGTCATATCTTCTTCTTCTTCTTCTTCTGCTTCTCTTGCAGCTGTAGTGACAGTTGCTGTGCCTTGCAGTGAGGTGTCATCCCTTCTGCTGGTTGATTTGTCTGTGTCCAGTTCTTTTTGTGCCCCCCCTGCCGCTGTTGCGACAGTGCCCCCCCCCTCAATCAACACAGTGGCATATGACCCTGTGTGGTCATTCAGAGAGAACTCTGGGGAGAGCTTGATTTCAGAGACAGCAGCTCTGAGGAGCTCAATCTGTAGTTCCTCTTCCATAGCATGCCTGAGCCCTGCTCAGAATGCTGCTGAGTTGAGTCCACAGAGTTCCACAGTTTCTTTACCTTCTCTTCATGAAGAGGCTTCAGTGCAGCTTCTAGCCAGTACTGTCATCTGTCTGCACTGTGCTAAGCAGCTGAAGAAGAGAGGGATTTTATATATCTATCTCTTCTCTCACTTCTATTGTTTCTGTTATACTTGTAACAATAACTTCTATCTCTCTGTAAGTATTATCTACTCTACAAGAAGACATTATATCAGCTCTGACAAGGAGCTCAGATGCTCAAGCAGTACAGAGCAAGAATCTCAGAGCTTCAAGTATTAATGAATTCTATCAAGGCTGAGAAGATCTCTCTTACTCATCTGCAAAAGAAGATAAAAGCATGAGTCTCTGAGATGAAAAAACACCTCAGAATGACTGACTCTAAGAAGAGATTAGTCAGTATCATCATTGAAAGTACTGCAGAGATTAATTACTGATTGAAGAGAATCTTACTTCAATTAAAACAGATAACTGAGATATTTTATAAATTAATAAGTTGATATTTCAAGTATCTCTCATGCTCTTCTACAGTATACTCTTCTATAATATCACAGTACTAACTTCTCAGCAGATAAAGATACTGATATCAGAGACTTCAACAGTGAAGAATAAGTTTAATGAGAATGTGATTATTAATAAGTAGACTCTGAGATTCTTCTCTTTTTACTTTTTCAGTGAGCTGCAGCCTTATTTAGAATAGCAGCAGTCTACAGATTAATAATATTAATCTTTATTAATTTCAAATATTTCTTTTCTTTAATCACTTCAGGAATTTTATACTTGTATAGTCTTATTAAACTTCTAAAAACTCTTTGAGAGAAAATAGAAGAAGAGTGTTACAGAGTTGATAAGATATCAGCTCATCACTGCAAGATTATCTCTAAAAAACTCTTTGAAAAAAATAAGAAGTCTCAAGCAGTATTTCTTACTTAATATCTCTGATATATAATAAGATAATCTCTACTAGTCATTTCATAGCTTATAATCTCTTTCTCAATATTTTTCAAATACTCAAGCAGTTCTTATAAATTCTCTGATGATGAATAATCTTCTTATTTAATAAGATATTGAAGCTTATTATAATATATTTACTTATTCAATATTTTCTTCACAAGATATTCAGTATCATTCTTAATCTCAATATTATTCAGCTGAGATGGCTTCACTCTGAGATATTACTTATAGAGCTTTAAATAAGAAATGTAAAAAACAGAATGAATTGATTTCAATTCTGTGAGTAATTTCAACTCATATATCTGTTTACTCATTACTCTTATTACTGAGAAAGATTCTAGTCATCACTTACTGAGCTTCTTATATAATCTTATTATCTTGATATTCTTTGCTGAAAGTAGTACTTGATCCTCTATTAAGAACTTCATTGAAAGATGTTTTCAATTATAGTATTTTATCTGCTGCTTCTGAGTGTAGTAAATGCTTTTCATCATTTTCTCATGAATTTTGTTTAAAAGTTTCAATCTCACTTTTACTTCTGATACTGAGAAATACTCTGTTCTCTGTATCTGTTTAATATTCTGACTGTCTATCTCTCTCTTTGAAATATCATCTGTGATGTCACTGAGTAATGAAGGATTATATTTATAATAAGCATAGAAAGAAGATATCTTTAAGATTGTATTCTTTATATTATTATATATGAATTCAGTGATTAGAAGATGTTTAAGTCAATCATTCTGATAATATAAATAGAACACTCAAAGATACTGTTCTAGTGTCTGATTCTGGTGTTCAGTCTGACCATCTGTCTGTGAATAAAATGCAGTACTGAGAAGACACCTTATTATAAGATAATAGCAAAAAGCTGATCAGTATTTACTGATGAAGAGGAATTCTTGATCTGTTATCAATAATCTCAGAGCACTGTGATTATAAATAATGATATCTAAAAACAGATCAGTCAATTCAGAGACTTTAATCTTTTTATAAGTAGAGATATATCTGATCATCTTTATAAAGTAGTTAATAATGATCAAAATTGAATCATATTCTTTAACTCTTGTTGACTTCAGCAGATCAACTATGAAATTCATTAATAGATTCTATCATAAGCTCTTTGAAATAGACAGTGATATCAACTCACTGTATTACTTATACTGCAGAATCTTTATCTTTTAATAGATATTACAAGTCTTAACATACTCTTTGACATCTGCTCAGAGCTTGTTTCAAATATATTTACATTTTAGAAGCTTCTCAGTCTTCTCTAATCTGAAGTGTTCTGTATGAGAATTATTATAATGAATTCTCAATAACTTCTGACACACTGCCCTGCTATGAGAAATGAAGACTGAATCATTCAGTAGTAGAAGTTCACATTCTTCTAGTTATCAGTGACTTAGTTTCTTAGCAGCACTGCTCTACTCAGAGTCTGTCTCTTTCAAGTTCAAACTGAATTCTTTCTTCTTCAACTTCTGAATTCAAGCTGTAGTAGAGATATCTCTCTTCTGTAACTTATTAATGAATTTCAAAAGTAGTCAGATTAAAAGATTATAGACTGTTTCATTCTTTGTCAATTCAATAATTGTAGAATATAATATGAGAAGCTTATGATCTTCAGTGTTAGTTCTCTGCAGAGACTCAGGTTTTCTTTCACCTTCTATACTGAGTCACACAGCTGTCTTATCAGTGCTGTTCTCAAGCTTCAGAGAATCTCAACTCTCTGCAGTCAGCTTCTTCTGCAGTGATGACAGAGATTCTTTTATAGAATTCTTCTTCATATTAATAATATTATAATTGAGCTGTCTAGATAACATGTCAGTGAGATTAAGCTGATCTGAATAGTATCAGATATAGAAATCATACTCTGAAAGCAGCTTCACTCACCTGACTTAACATTCTATCAAGCTCTTTATTGTCAAGAAGTAATACAGATTTGCATGATCAGTGAGAACTTACACTGAGTACTTACTACTCTGGAGATAATGTTGTCAGATCTTAAAGAATTTGATAATTACTAATATCTTCTGATCATGAATATTATACCTTCTCTGTATAAGTGATAACTTCTTGAAGAAGAAGATCACTGATCTCTATTTACAGTGTCTTATAGACTCTGTGAAAAAGCCTTCTTCTACAGATAATTCATTATCTGTTTCCTCAGAAGTAATTATTCTCTGATTCTTTCAATGTTGAAAGATCTTCAGTGTCAACTGTGAAAAGATTTCACAGATCTCATTTTCAGATACATCAGTCTCACACTGACTGAGTAAGTTGAGATCAAAGTGATTCAGTATTGTGATATCTATAAAAGCTTGTTTTAATTCTGCAAACACCTGCACAGTATCTTGAGTGAGAATAAACAGTCTCATTTTTCTATCTTTCATACTTCTCTTTAACAGATCTGTAAGAGAAGCAGTAATCTGTGAATATGCATAGATGAATTATCTGTAGAAATTTGTAAATTCTAGAAACACCTGCATCTCACAGTACATTCACAGTGCTGGCCAGTTCTCAATGACAGAGACCTGGCTTCTGTTCATTGAAATGTCATTCATCTCAATAATATAATCTAAGAAATCAATCTTCTGCATGTAGAATGAGCATTTTTCAGTGTTTGCATAGAGTTGATACTGTCTCAAGTGACTCAACACTTCTTAAACATGGATATCATATTCTTCCTCTGTTTTTAAGAAGATTAGAATGTCATCTAAGTATACTATACAGGAGACATTGACAAGGCCTTGCAGCATCTCATTTATATAGATCTAGAAGATGGCTGAAGTGTTACAAAGATCAAAAGATAAAACAAGATATTCAAAATTGCTGTACTTAGTATGAAAAGCTGTTTTTCAAATATTGTCTTTATTAACTCTGATTCTATGATAGACATTCTGTATATTAATCTTTGAGAATATCTTTGCTTCAGATAATCAATCAATCATCTCATCAATTAACAGTAATGAATAGCAATTCTTAATCATCATCTTATTAAGACCTCTGTAGTCTATACATAGATGTAGTCTACTATTCTTCTTGAGTATAAAGAGTATAGACATCTCTGCTGAACTCTTTGATAAATATATTCAGTTCTTTGATTACACTTCTTCAAGATATTTGTACAGAACATTCAATTTCTTTACAGACAAGTTGTAAAGAGGCCTGTATAATACTATTACACTGTTTTCAAGATGAATCTTAGATTGTATCTTGATATCAGGAAACTTCACTGCTTCTCTTTCTGAAAAGACATTCTTAAAATCTGTAAAGAGACATCATATACATCTGTCTTCAATGATGAATACTGCTGCTAATCTTGTAGTGAGAGTGATGACTTCTTTATCTATTTTCAAGTCTCAGTCACCTGCTACACAGTATATTGACTCAATCTTTTTCTCAAGATTCTTTCAATGAAACTCTTCAGATTTCTCTATCACTGTCTCTTCATTAGTGAGATGATATTATCACATCTGAGTGACTCAGTCAATGAGAGAATTGTTTTCTCTCAACTATAGAAGACCTAGAATGACATTCTCATCTATAATGTTAACTGTGTGAAGGAGCAGACTGCTCTTCTTAGAGATTTCTTCTAAGTCTGTAACTACATATTACACTTGAATTATGCTAAAACAGTGATATTTTATTTCATCAGTAAATTTCACATGATCTGATGAGTCTATCTTCTTTCAATTCTTTATCAAAGAAAAGGAATAGAATATGAAGTTAATATTCACTCTGAAGTCAAGTAGACACCTCACTGATATCTTCTTATTCAGAGTATGTATTATAATTATAACATGAACTCAGAGATGTGAGAATTATCAATTCTTCATTTCTTTCTCTTCTTTATCTTCTGTGGATATGTTTATCAGAAGAGAAGTCAACTTTGAGAAGATATCTTCTCAGTTTCTTTTCTTCTTCAGCTTCTTATAATTACTGATATAGTGATTACTAGCTCTGCAGTTGAAACAGAGATCTTTATCAAATCTTTTTTAACATT